CTGGAGTGCAGTGGCACGATCTCAGCTCACTGCAGCCTCTGCCTCCCGAGTTCAAGCAGTTCTCCCTCAGCTTCCTGAGCAGCTGGGATTATAGGTGCCCACCATGATGCCAGGCTAATTTTTGTATTTTTGTAGAGACGGGATTTCACCATGTTGGCCAGGCTAGTCTCGAACTCCCGACCTCAGGTGATCCTCCCTGCTTAGCCTCCCAAAGTGCTGGGATTACAGGCGTGAGCCACTGCACCCAGCCTTCTGACTCTTTTTAACTCATTGTTTCTTCCATATTTCCTGTGGTGAACGTATTTCTTTACAATAATACTATTAATAATAAATTTTGGTGGATCTCGAAGTTTCATGTATTGAGGCAACTTTTACTTGTTCACAGTGCCTTTCTATCATTTATTAAGAACATCAGAGGGATCTCGCTCTGCTTCTCCAGAGGAGGAAACAGGCTCTGGCATGACCTGTTACCTGCCTGTGGTCATGGAGCTGGCTGGTGATGCCCAGGTTTGGAGGCCAGGCCTCCTGTCTCTGAACCCTGGACTCCATCTCTAGGATCAGCCTTTTCTGAGTTCTGGCTGCAGTGGATCTTGAAGTCAGGATTGTGACTTAGCCCTGAATCTGGCTCATTAGTTCCTGTGTGGCCTCGAGGAAGGCCTTTGAGTCTCAGTTTATTCATTTGCAACATCTGGATAAAGATACCCACATCCCAGGCTGCTTTGAGCAAGTGAGAACACGAAAGGAAAAATATTTGTTTGTTTGTTTTGAGGCAGAGTCTGGCTCTGTCACCCAGGATGGAATGCAGTGGTGCCATCTTGGCTCACGGCAACCCCTGCCTCCCAGGTTCAAGTGATTCTCCTGCCTCAGCCTCCCGAGTAGCTGGGACTCCAGGCACATGCCACCATGCCCGGCTAATTTTTGTATTTTTAGTAGAGACAGGGTTTCACCACTTTGGCCAGGCTGGTCTTGACCTCCTAGCTTCAAGTGATCCACCCGCCTCAGTCTCCAAGAGTGCTGGGATTACAGGCTCGAGCCACCCTGCTTGGCCAAAAAAGGAAAAATATTTAGAAGCTAATAATGACCGTCTGTAGGGAATTACATAATACCACCAATGTGACCAGCTTTTTCTGAGGTCATCATCTGAGTCTGAGACCTCATCCTCTGCTGGGTCTGCAGCTCGTGGAGGGACTGTCCCGCAGACACCACCCAGTTTAAGCACTCCTGAGCCCCATCTCTGTTTCCTTTGCAGTCCTTGCTGAGAAGCAGATTGAGCCAGTTGTGTGTTGTCATGGAGACTGGAGTGAGCCCTGCAACAGCGGAGGGGCCTGAGAACTTGGAGGATGCTCCTCTCTTGCCCGACAGTTCTCGTCCTATGGAGAGGCCACTCATGCAGACTGAGCTTCACCAGCTCGTTCCCGAGGCTGAGCCGGAGGTAACAGGCACTAGGGCTAGTCACGGCCATCCTCCCTTGGGGGAGTTTGTGTAGAGAAAGTCTATGTGGGGGCTTCCTAGATTCCCAGGGACATGGCTTCTCTCAGTTGGAAGACACCATACAAATCTAGCTCAGGAGTTCTCAGTCTTTTTATTCTTCACCCTAGCACTTAAAAAAAATAGTTAAGAGGAAGCATTTTTTATTTATTGGGACTTTTTGTTGCATTATTTAGTATCTTGGATATTCTTTTTGATGGTTGCATTGGATGGGTAGTTGCATGTTGATAGATTATAGCTTACTTCACCATGAACATATTGACAAATATTTGGGTCTTAATTAATAAATTTTTATTCATCTATCCAACCGTTCATCCATCTACTTTAATTGCAG